AAAGACCTTTATGATAGAAGAACAACAAATGCAGAAATACAGATAGGTGATAGAGTTCTAGTAAAAATTGTAGCTTTTGATGGAAAGCACAAAATTGCTGATAAATGGGAAGAAGAGCCGTACTTAATAATTGAACATCCTAATCCAGAAATCCCAGTGTATAAAGTACAGAAAGAAATGACAAAAGGAAAATCTCGAACTTTACATTGAAATCTTCTACTCCCTATTGGACATCTAGACTCTTATAAAACCAGTTCAGATGAATCATCACCATCCAGACCTACTCCAAAACCCAGGACAAGGCAGGCACTGAAGAAGAAACAAGAACAGGTTCAAAACAGAACACCAGAGACTAGAGAATTAGAAGATGACATAGATGTTAGTTCTGATGAAGAGTCAGATACAGAATTTATCCCGGTACCGGTACCAATGATCCCTGAGGTTAACATCCCAGTAGATGTTAGTAAACACCCAGGTGAGCAGAGTGTACACAGATCAGAAGAACAGAGAGTACAGAGCCCTAGAGAGCAGAGAGTACAGAGCCCTAGAGAGCACATAGTACAGAGCCCTAGAGAGGAGATTGTACATAGCCCTAGAGAGCAGACTGTACAGAGACCCATAGAACAGATGGATCAGATAGAGCAGAGACAGGAAAGAGAAGAAGAAATACAGCATCATGATGCAGAGGAGAGAGTAACGGAACAACAGCCAGTTCAGACAGAGGCAGAGCCACAGCGGGAACACGCTGAAGCTAGTAGTCCCAGATCTGATGATAAAGAAGAAGAACCTGTACCAGTTTTACCAAGGAGAAGTACCAGGGAGAGAAGAAAACTAGACAGATTAAACCCCCAGGAATTTGTTTTAGTACAACAACAGCAGCAACAAGAATGGATGAAGAAGTGTGACTATCTACATCGTTTGAAATCTTCAAAGGAAATGAAATCATATGAAAAGGAAATAGTTCAAACCATGTTAGATATTTTAAAGAGAAATTAATCTGTTTTTAATTGTACATATTTATTTTTATTCCAGATCGTCCAGTTAACTTGAAGAATTTCAGGAACAGAGCAGAGTATATTTGGTTAGTCCATTAGAGAAATGACGGGGACTTCATTTTCCAATGGGGGGGAGTTTGTAGTAGAGGTACTTTTATTTAAAATAATAAAAGTTAAGTGATTTTTAATGATATAAAATAAATATTAAATATAAATTAAATATAAACTAAATAAAGTATTAAATAAGTTATAAATGATAGTTTTCCGTTAAAGCTTTATTCTTTTCTATTCTTTACTAACTTGGGTATTTAGTGATATAGTTATACGCCCCATTGGATCCACACCTGTACATACACTTTTACATGACCACATCCATATCTATTGGTCAGTTTTTGAAATACTTAGTTTTCATTGGTTAGTGTTTTGGTCTTTGTGGTGTAGTGAGTTTTATTCAGTTTAGACTCTAGAATTCTGATTTTGAATGGAGAAGATGTAATTTACTTTGTTGCTGACTGTAATTTATTTCCTAAGACCTTGAGACCTAAGACAATTCCTGAAATGTAAGTTTTTACTTGTTTTATGCTACAAAAGAATGTTTTCTATTATATTATGTTAAAAATGTGGAAAACAAGATATTTTACTTTTAATTGTTACATTCTGAGTTATCTGTCTATTTATTCAGATATGGATAAATCTGATGAAGTTTTCACATAGATCAATTTGTATATAAACCTGAAAAAAGTTTGATGTGAAGATTCTGATAATCAAGATAATTTAAATAATTATTTATTTTGAGAAAGGTATTTGTATAGAGCAAGTCCTTATTATTACATTTATTGTACATAGGTAACATCATAAAATAAACAAATGTATACTTGAATAGGAGAAAGTTCAGTTCCATAGATTGGTATGTCTAACTGTATATATATTTTTATGATTTGTAAAGAAATATCAAAGAAAGATAACTCTTCACAAGTTTGTCAAGTGTAATAGTGTTAATAGAGTTATTTCCCTTATATCATGTGTAAAGTATATTTATGTGTTATCATAGTAAATGATGATAATTAATTGTAAAAGAGAAGACAGATAATTTGTTATATTTTATAATCGGAATATTTAATTGAAATACTATTCTGTACATATTTTTATGACGCAATTTGTATATTGCAGGACTTCCATATATATTCCATTGTTTCCATATTCCAAATATTGTCCGGTATTAATCAACTAAGATATCATCATAATAAACGTTAAAACTACAACTGAGTGTTTTCCATCATATGCCGGGAATACCCGCTACACGTATAGTCACGAGTTCGGCCTCGGTCAACCAATACTTGACCAGGTCCCAATAGTCACGAGTATACCGAATTCAGAAGTCAATGACTGTTTTTTTAAATGATCAGGAATTTTACAACACTTTTGACACTTTCTGACATGTTTACATTCACACCGACACAAGCTTTGAAACACACAATCTGACTGGTAAAAAAAAACTCTATGCAAATCTATAGTTGGTCAAGAGGGAAAACCCGAATATGAATATGAGATGAACTCACTCTGAGGTACATCTCAGGAAATGGCGTCCAGACCAATCAGAGAGCACCAAAATTCCTGATCATTTAAAAACTCTAAATATCGAGTTGAAGGTCACAGCAAGTGTTATATATTGCTAGTTTTTGCAGAAATTCTGCTTTCTATGAAAACAAAAATAGGTCTGCTAATGACGGTGAGCGATTGGTACCCATTGTAATTTCCACTTGGAAGATCTAGTCTCTATAAACCTCATAAATAACGCCAATAAGAAACTCAAGCATTTTTAAATATCAACTTTAGAATACCTGTGTGTACACTCAGATTATTTTGAACAACATAATTTTGTAAATGACCAACGACAAGGTACGAAATTTTCCAGTTCCATTTTATTGAAAAAGCAGCTGTCAATGATGTCAAAAAACCTGGACTTTAATTAATCGTGGGAATGGTTGTATATAGATTTGAAAAGTCTAACGTTCTGAAGTTATAATTTTAATAAAAACACACATAGCTTAATAAAAAAAATCAAAACAAAAAATAGGGGTCCAAGTGCTTCTTTTAGCACTATGGTGCAATAAATATGCCCCTTTTGCACTGTTATTATGTCTAACACATAATTCAATTTTTGAAAGCTTTTCCTTTAATATTTTTATCCAATGAATTATTGGATCATGCACAGTCACAGTTTCAACTTAAACAGTAATCTAACAACCAAGCTTTATAATTAACGTGATGCCTTTAACTTTTCTACTTTCGTCGTCCCTTATTTATGCAGCAATATACCTTCATCACCTGCATACGGTGTTTATATATCTCAGTTGATTTGATACGCAAGGGCATGCTCTACGTATGAACAGTTTCTAAAACGAGGTAAGTTATTGACAGACAAGTTGATGAAACAAGAATATCAGCAGTCTCGTTTAAAGTCATCGTTTCGTAAGTTCTTTGGTCGATACAATGACCTTGTGAGCAAATACAATTTATCATTGAGTCAAATGCTGACTGACGTTTTTCATACTAATTGTTAGTCCATTATTTATACACTGAATTGACGACGGATTTTTCCGCTATTTCCCGATTACGACAAGGAACACATGCCGGGTGTGACCGGTCGGCAGGGGATGCTCACTCCTCTATTACACCTGATCCCACTCTGATCTTTTAAAGGTTCATGTTTGCTCTGCTCCTGTTTTGTAATTTTTTATGGACTTTGATATTGAATACTGTTCATTATCTCCATATCTTTTACAGTCGCATTAAAAATAATTGTGACAAGAAAAATAGTTTCAAATCACTTCGCATAATCAATTTTTTGATAGAGGAGTTAAAATTGTCCTATTTATTCACAAAATAAAAAAGGGGGCTGTGAAGTAATTTTTAAATATTACTTAGAAAGTGCTAATTTTAAGCTTAATTCGGGCTTTTTGCAAGGACTTTCATGAAATATTTTAACAATTTTGTGATGGAATTCATGACAGTTAATTTGATATATACTTTAGGACCAACAAAGAACATTTAACTGTACAAAATTACTCTGTGTGCAGCCTGCATATAAAAATAGGAATCCAAACTTAACAATACTGATAATAAAACTAAAATTTAGTTCGGAATTTATGTGGATTGTTGCGATTATTGGGCTGAATAGAATAGTCCCCGAGGTGTATGCATTCCAAAAGGATGTTACCTTTACTTTGATTGTTAATGATTTTTGTTAGGTCTCCTTCATTGTATGTAAAACGTAACAATATTTGATTTTTTCCATTTGCATTGGCTTGTTTTTCATTTGTATTGTATGATTTTTATTTGTTTGATATAATTTTCTAATTGATTACAATTGTATTACATAATTTTTCATTTGCATAATTTTAGTTTTTATTCTATAATTTGTTTTGAATAATATTTTGAATAATATTTTTGTATTGTATAACTTATATTTGTATTCTATAATTCTCTATTAGCATTGTATATTTCTTTATTTGTAGTAAATATTTTTTTTTCTTTATTCTACAATTTTCCATTCGCATTGTATTATTTGTTATTTGTGTTGTAAAAATGCTTATTTTTGATTTTTCATTTGTATTGTATAACGAGGATTATTTCTTTATTTATTTATTTCCTTATTTCATTGGGTTCCATTTGCGTTCATGTTAGAAGACAGTCATTTTAATGTGAATAGGAGCACTGCCAGTTGGCAGATATATTATATGTCCTTAGAAATGTTGATTGATTAAATGAATAATATCAATCTGACCTCGAGTAGTAGTACTTACCCTCCTCCCCACCCCATTAAAAATTCTCCTTTTCCTTTTTTTTTCTTGTCTCTGGTCATATTTGAAATAAATATTCTCTCATGCAAGAGAATGAAAATAAATAACCGGTTTCTGCAAACACCCCCACCTGAGAATTAGAATATTTTATAAAGAAAATACACATTTTTAACATCGGTTTTACATTTATTATCATATCTACAATTGCAAATATTTTCCTTTATATAACACCACTGAAAGCACTGTTGATGTTGACATGACGAAAGAAAGATAATCTATCATGCTGTTAAATCTTTTTTATTATAGTATTTCAACTTGAAATTTTATTTAGCCATTCCTAGTTTAGAACATTAAATTTCTTCACATGCATTTATCAATCAACTTATTTGTAAATATGCACAATGGGCGATGGTCTAAATAGTCTTAAAACATTGCGATACATGGCTTTCAAGTGGGCTTTGATAATGAATACATCAGACACGAAGATGATCATGAAAACTAATCCAAGAAGACAACCTCCCAGAATTCCTATTCCTTTTGATGACTTCCGGTAGTCAGTTGCACTTTCTTTCTTACGGATACTTGACGAGAGGTTCCGAACTGCCACCTCACCTGCAGACTTAGCTTTTTGCAGCACTGGTCTCATGATGTTCAACACTTCTTCCAGTGGGTAGTGGTTCAGAAATTCCCACTTACTTACTTTGGGTTCCTCCCTGTCTGAAAAACCATTGATACGCATTGTGTGTATCAATCAAACGTATATTTATCAAAAATACATAACACATACCCCAATATAAATCAGAAAAAAGCTTAAACAATTTTCATAATTGACTTAAAATTAATTAGATTCCATATCCTTAAATTCCCTATATGAACACTAAGAAGTTACGTGACTTATTCAGGATACGTACGATAAAATCCTAAAACGGCGATACGATCAACCATTAACAACGCGTCATCTAGAGAGAGGAAAAATATAACATTAATTTCAAATAAACAAAATGTGTTTTTTTTTTCTAAAAAAAAAAAAAAAAAAAAAAAAAAAACTCACTTTTTTCTTTTTTCTTTTTTTTTTCTTTCCATTTATTTTTTATTATTATTATTATTGTATAAATGAGTTTTACTAATTTACTAAATGTAAAAAAAAAACAGTATGTCTCACTATTTGATAATGGATAATGAGATAACAAAGATGCTTTTATACCTTACAAGTATGCAAAAGGATTTACCTGCAAGTTGATACATAGTTAGATTTCTTTTATTTTTCCAACCAGAAACGTTAAATGTTATTTTTTTTGCTCTTAAGCATGTTTTAAACCATTGCATACTGGTGTCATTGGAAAAGTCAATCTGAAAATATTGTTATTCAAAATATAATTTATAAGCTCTCGAATGACAAAGAAATACCCGGTAGTGTCTTTAATACATTCTGATAACTACAGAAATTGCATGAATAAACAAATTTTGATTTTTCTATCAAGATATCAACAAAAATTAAATCATGTTAAAAAGAGTATTTTGCATAATTTTTTCTTATTTTAATATTTTATAAATGTTATTTATGCACATGTAAATAAATTTCATTTATTCATAATTCCTACGAACATTATATGTATTAGTAAGTGTAATATGAATTTTATGAGAGGAAAAGAGGACGTCGTTTTAAAAAGTAAATAATATTTTTAAATTTTTACAGTTAAAGTCTCCTCATCGCTGTCTGTGATGATCAACTTTATTTTGGTTGCTTTATTTGTTATACTTGTCAAATTAATGCCACAAATTATCTTCTCTTCCGGGAAGTTAACGACGTGCTGAAAAGAAGTTTCATGTTAATAACAAAAATTTCGTCATTGAATTCATACTTTTTCAGAATAAGCATCAACGCTTTTATTCAACTGCTTTGAACAATTTTTTTTCTATTTTGAAGCAAACAAAACATGTAAGCAAAGCAGTATTATCTGAACAATGCATTAAAAATAATACCGAGCTTTTTCTTATGTAAGTTCCTTGTGTCATATTCAACGAAAATGAAATCTACTAATGTGAACATATTAAGATTAAGATTTTAAAGTCAAAAAAAAGAAATTGGCAATATTGTTATATATCACAATTAAGAACAACAAGTAACACTAACTTAAAAACATGTATTGGGGGAGGGGGGCAAAAATGTTATACGTGAATGTAAAAAGAAATTGAATATGAAATCATTGAATTTAATTACTATATTTAAACAACAAACAGATAAATAAATTGGCAGAAAAAATGAGCAGAGTGTTCGACAATCAAAAAGATGAACAGTCAACTATACAGACAGGGTTATACCTTGCCATTACGTAGTTCTAGCGTAGTGTAAAAACTTTTAACCTTCCTCATTCCATAGTTTGGCTCTAGCAAAATGATGACATATCAAATCATCTAATATCAACTTCAGGCAGTGTTGTTTAAAGATAACAGCATTTAAATTTTAAAAGATGAATATAAATTGTAAATCAAATTTTACCTTAGATTATATAGTCTGAAGACATTTGTCAAGATTCAATTTTACTTTTTTTTCTTTGTTAATCAAAATAGCTTTTTTACGATATTTTATTGTTTTGACAATAAAAATTGATTATGATAAAGGATAGAAAATAACAAAAGAAAATTTTCTCTCATTCATATTTAATTCAACTGCTTCATCACAGAAACATTTATATAATACTCTAGAAAAAAAAACGCAACAGAAAGTATCGCATTTTGGTGGCTTATTTCTTGCATATTTTCTATTCTCTAAGAATTGCAAGGCATTCAAAACTTTGAAAGTATACATATATATATTTTTGTAGAAGATTATTCCAAAGTTGACAATCTTTCTGCTGCAATAGGTCTGCTGCATTCTACTGCTGGGGAAGTTCTCTCTCTCTCTCTCTCTCTCTCTCTCTCTCTCTCTCTCTCTCTCTCTCTCTCTCGTTTATTTCTCTTGTACATACTTGATAGGGTTTAGGTCTTGGGACTCAAATGCTTGCTAACCGATTTTTTTTTTTAGCTTTGCCAACAATAAAAAACCCAAATAAGTTCTCTTCACTTTGTTCTGATTTTTTAAAAAGAAGTTTGGCTACTGAAGGGCTTGATATACGTTCCAAAATACGCCGTGCAGTTGCACAAGCGGTTACATTCCTCACAAAAGAGTGGGTACGTCTCATACTCGCATAGTGGTTCATTATCTCTGTCATTACACGACGAAGGTCATCAAAGTCATTATACCGTCAACGCCGGTTCCATTGAATTTCCAGATAAACCTTGGGATGTTCATGTAGTCTCTGTTAAAACTCTGTTGACTTATAATAATTAGTGTGTTTTCATATAAACCCTGTCAGTCCTTCGGACGTTATTTGAAAGGATTTAAGAAACATGGTGAAAGAAAACAAGCCTTTCATAAACTGCGACCAGTTTATACCATGCCATTTTCTGTTGAACGTTCTCGTGCAGACGATTCTGCATTTTACGTGATGTCGTTCTTTTTTATCTTAAGAACTAAAGACTGAGAACATTTGGAAACAAAATATTTTGAAAGATTCACCCGAAAAACATATCAAACTCTACTTCATGTTGGATATTTTCAACGTCATAGTCCGGACTATGTCATAAACTACTGGGGCAAAGAAGGCTGTAAAGTTTCACATGAATCGCAAAACATCCCTTAGATGATTTGTAGATTATTTATGACGATAAAACACTTGGCAAAAGATAAAGAAAATTTGGGAAAGGGAAAAAAATTAAAGATAAGGTGCGTTCTGGTACTCAGTGAACGCGGGTATGGAAAAATGAACCCTTTAATCAGCAATTTGTAATGAAATACCGCCGGGTCACAGTTTATGAAGATTATAATGAAAAGGATTATGTTACGGGAAACACAAGACTAACAATAAGTATAAAATAAGCAAAAACACAACCCTATGCTAGATCATATTTGCTAACAAGTAAACTATATCGGTTTAAACTAGGAGCATACCCTTGAACATCGAATACGTTGAGAGATGGTAACACCATATACAGGTGATAAAGGAAATAACTACAGAAATAAAAATTAGTAAAGTTGACAATGGAAACATTAAAACTCGCTGCAGCTCGAGGGTCATTCAATTAAGTTGTTAGTTAGGTTTTATCATCTATAGTCAGCAAATTATCTAATCATGTAACAGATGTGGCAGATTCTGTCGTGGCTTTAATTTGAAGTTTACTGGATATATCTCGTCATCATATGAATGATAGTAATTATTGTTAATTGATATCACAACGTTGATATATCTTAAAGTCGAGTAAAAGTTTTTGAATAGGTTCTGCTTCACTGGAATGTTAAAACAGGCCATCATTTAAAAGGAAAACATTTAGTGTCTATCGATATTCCGACAGGTTTTTTTAAGACCTAGTCTCCGAAGATTATGTAAACTTCAGAGTACTTTTATGTACGATCAGAGTGGTTTTTCACGAAGAAATTTGGTTACTGACTGTTGGAAATTTTCAAGTTGGGTTTGAAACAATTTTCTATATGTATTATTTAAAAAGTCAATATTTTAATTTATAGTGGGGAATACAAAATGTAGAAGAGATGCAGCAATATCTAGGAATTTTTTTTAATGATTTATGGACTTTTGATCTTGAATTCTGTTCGTTATCTCCATATGTTTTACTCCATATTTTTCATGTTCCTAGAATTTAATAATTTTATTAACGTTAAAATTAATTTTATGGCCAACATACATGAATCCAGCCTTTATGCAATTCATCGAAATGGAATTCGACATTTTTTATTTCAAGGATCGGCAATAAAATATTTACAGGTTATGAATACCATTCTTATAAATGACATTAGACAGTGGTTGTATAACAATTTGCAAAATTATTATTTTGACTTACCTTGTATCTGTAAATTACTTATATTAAATCGGCATTTTTCCTGAAAGTAACAAAAAAAATTGTCCCTGATCATTTTAGAAAGAAAAATAACAAGGGCAGCGGAGCATCCCCTCTAAAAAGAGCATTTCGTTATATAACGACAGCGAGTCCGATGCAAATTACTTAATGCCTTTTTAAACTATTTGAGTTCAATTTTTACATGTAACTCACATTCCATTGTGTCGGGCAATTTTTCGTGTAATTCATTTGACAATTTCTCTGAAAAAGAAAACAACAAATGTCATAACAATAAAATATATTTTGTATTTTGTTGAAACTTATATTAAATCGGCATTTTTCCTGAAAGTAACAAAAAAATTGTCCCTGATCATTTTAGAAAGAAAAATAACAAGGGCGGCGGAGCATCCCCTCTAAAAAGAGCAGTTCGTTATACAGTAAAACACGGTTATAACGAAGTCCTGGGGACCTGTGAATTTAATTCGCTATATCCGTAATTTGTTATATCCGTATAAGGAATTCGTATAACCATATATAGCGAATTCGCAATATGCATGTTTTCCTTCAAGTGTTACTATTAAATATGTTAGGGAAGCAAATATTACAAAACATACCTTCGATAACTAAGGTTTTATTATGAATTGAATTTTATATACAAATGCTGAGAGAAAATAAAGTCAGTTCAATTATTCAAATTTTGAAATCTTTTAAAGTTCGTTATAAAAGATGTAAAATTCATTATATTTAACCTCAACTGGACTCACAATCAGTTCGCTATATCCGTCAATTCGTTATATCAGAGTTCGTTATAACCGTAAAATTTTACAAAGATTTGTTAAGAATTTTGCCGGGGACCCAGTAAAACTTCGTTCTATCCGTGAATTCGCTATATCCGTGTTCGTACTAAACGTGTATTACTGTATAACGACAGCGAGTCCGATGCAAATTACTTAATGCCTTTTTAAACTATTTGAGTTCAATTTTGTACATGTAACTCACATTCCATTGTGTCGGACAATTTTTCGTGTAATTCATTTGACAATTTCTCTGAAAAAGAAAACAACAAATGTCATAACAATAAAATATATTTTGTATTTTGTAGAAATTGCTTGAAAGACTTTTTAAATTTTACTAAGTTCTACTTTTGAGGAGATTCTCGTTTGCAAAGTGGTCTACCTGTTCCTTTCTAAGCAATTCTTGCAGATAAATGACTCTATTTTTAGTAGAACTCAGGAGTTGATCATTACGTCGCGTCGCGTGTTCACACTGAACTTACAAAATGATGACTTAAAAAAAACCGCATGCGGGTGATGATAGTATATTGCTGCATTAGTAAGGAAAGTTGACGATTGAATAGTTAAAGGCATTAAGTTTATCATAGGACTTTAAAAAACGAGAATGCTGATATTTATATTTCATCTTGTTTGTCAATAATTTACCTCGTTTTAGGAATTTCATACCCCGTTTGCAGGTGATGATAGTATATTGCTGCATTAGTAAGGGAAGTTGACGATTGAATAGTTAAAGGCATCAAGTTTATCATAGGACTTTGTTGTTAGATTACCATTTACTTTTTTAGTACTATAACAAAACATGAAACAGATGTGTCAGACTGTGCCTTGTCTACTATTTCAAGCACATCGGTATATATCTTGTCGACATAAGAATGGAAATAACTATTGTAAATAACAAAACGTTGTCAATTTGTCAATATTATAATCTGCAGGTTAAAAGAGCATCCAGGTGAAACGGCATGGGAGGTATAGACTGACTGGTGCGGGACATCACAGCTCAATTTGGGTTGCTTTTCTTTGACATGAAAGACATTCTAGATATAAAAAGAGGTATTACTATGATAAGTTTTCTTAAAAGCATTGATTGTTGTTTTAGCCCCATTCGAGAATTTTTCACTCATATAGAGATTTCATCTAATACCGGTGAAGGGCTTCAACTGTTCAAATTGTGACCTTTATTCAGCACTCAGGGCCATTGCGTAGTGAGGATTCTTTATCGTGCCAATGCCTGACATGACAAGGGCCTTCGGTTTTATAAGGTATCCGAAGGACCGCAACCGCAACGTTCAATTGAATGTGCCAAGTACATTGCGAAGGACCAGGCCTGGGGGCCATAAAACTTAGACGAGCTCACTTTTGATCTCAGTCTCACTTTTACCAAAGGAACATATAGTGAGAAAGTGAGACTGCTTTCGCGAACGCTATTAATACACTGAATAAAGCATTCAAATATAAACCGTCATAAATAACAACTGCTCATATACATTGTTTTGGTGTTTTTAGTCCAAAATATCAGACGTTTTCAAGATTTTTTGAGATTTAAATATTTTGCATGCCGGGAAAAGTTACGAAAACAGGAAATTCCTCACTTCCACCTAGAGGCGGCACTCTCGGGTTGATTTACGATACTTGCAAAGCAAATTAAATGTTGAATTCAGAATTTATAAACAGTACAATGCATTTAGTACTCACCAAAATCGCTTTTGTGGTTTGTTTATTGGTTTGTTTATAAAATATATGGTCCAGTGAAAACATTTTATCATTTTTCATCTTTACAAAATATAACAACTACATCGAAATATGGAGTGATATTTTATTTTCATTGATATTGGTGAGAACTACAAGCATTGTGTTGTAATAAAGGGTAATAATGGTATTGTAATTCAGTTCGCAGGTATCGAAAATCAGCTCCGGTTGGAGACGGCGAAATATCCAGTTTTCGTTATGGAGGAGATTTTGATGTTTTCCTGGCAAGTAAAATACATGTCTCAAAATCATGAGGAAAAAAAGCCGTGGAAACGACAGATATTTCGGACTAGGTGTTTTTGTATGTCTAAACAAAAATTATCCTAAACAATGTCGTAAATATCTCTGTCAAGACTCCTTTTTAAAAATTTTTAAAAATTGTGTCAAGCTAAGATTGTTCAAATCTTAATATCAATTTAAAATAAAATTTATTTCTATTGACTCTAATTTCTAATTGCAAATTGTATAAATAAAAATAATCAGAAAGACATATTTCCACATTGTTCATAGAAATTAGCAGCTTTTATCTAAACAACAAAAAGCTTTTTTTGTTATTACTTGAATTAACGGTCGCAGCTGTTGCAGAAAAAATACATAACCCGCGTAAGCGGGTTATGTAAATTTTTTCTGCAATAGCCGCGACTGTTAATTCCAGTAATAACAAACAAAGAAAGACCTTTTATTGTTTATATCTATATCTGTTTAAAGAATCATTTAAAGTAGGATTAAAAAGATTAAATATTGTATTAATGATTCAAACGTCTTCATACGTTTCATTGATGAAACAGCCACTGATCAAGAAATCTGTACAGGCGACATATAATTATATGCCGACTGTAGTTCATGCAGTGATTAACGCAATGGGTTTTCTTAAGAAATATAGGAGAAAATATTCGGCGGATGTAAATCTACAGTAATGAGGAATGAAATTACTTATATATACCTTCCTCACCTGCATACGGAGTTTATATATCTCAGTTGATTCGTTAAGTAAGAGCATGCTCTACGTATGAATAATTTCTAAAACGGGGTAATTATTGACAAACAAGGTGATTAAACAAGAGTATCAGCAGTCTCGTTTAAAGTCATCATTTCGTTTTAAGTTTTTATGTTCGATACAATGTCCTTGTCAGCAAATACAATTTATCATTGAGTCAAATGCTGACTGACGTTTTTCATACTTATTCTTAGTCCATTATGTATACACTGAATTGTCGACGGATGTTTCCTTTTTTACTGGATCATGACAAGGAGAACACGATGGTTGTGACAAGTCGGCAGGGAATGCTCACTCCTCCATGGCACCTGATCCCACCACTGCTGTTTTGGGTCCATGTTTGCTCTGCTCCTATTTTGTATTGTTTTATGGACTTTGATATTGAATACTGTTTGTTATCTCCATATCTTTCAACTACTTTAAATCTACCGTTCTAAATACTCGTAATTATCGTTTGCATAAATTTGTTTAATATACTAGATGAAAAAATGCGTATTATAAAATTAAGTAAATCTTTTCTATATTTATTTTTGTTTATTTATAAAATATAAGCAATTGATAAAGGTAATTTTTTTTTTTTACAAAATCGGATAGTACCCGACTAAAATGCACGGGCTTATCATGTTTAGTGGGCACATGTGTTTGTACTCACGAGTTTTACTGTCGAATATTGTTTGGAATCTTTTCCTTAAGGAAAGTGCTTTCGTTTAGACATTTGACCTTTTGTCATGCCACGACTCAGCGAAAAACCAAAGTAATATTGTTGATTGGATGCGTCAAGCTGGTATGGCACAAAATACCGTAGCAAGACACTCTGGAGTTCATGGGAACAGTATCCAATCATTAAGGAGACGTTCGGGTCGACCATGTTCTTGGCGTCCTCGCGTAACGTCTCATCTACATGACAAATACATTAAATATGGGCATCTGAGAAATCGTTTCCAGACATCAGGTTTATCTGCTCTAAGCCTTTCTGGACCTGGACCAACCAAGAACTGCGTGTAATCGTCTGTGCGAGCGCAACATCAACTAAGACGTCCAACTATAAGCCCAGTTCTGCTTCAACGCCTTCGTATCGCTAGACTTGCGTGGTGCAGACGACATCTGCGATTCAGAATACAGGACTGGGCCAACATTTATTCACAGATTAATCCAGATTTCACTTGGATAGCAGTGATGGCCGTTGTCGAGTGTATCGTAGCTTTGGGGGGTGGTTCCAGGACTCTTGTGTTGTGAAACGGCGTCAATAAGGTGTAGATGCGTTATGGTGTGGGGTGGAATCAAAGCAAATGGAAGAAACCCTCAACAAGTTGTCGACTGAAATTTGGCCGGCATACAATACCGAGACGAAATTATTCAGCAATGTGATAGCCTTCATACGGAGAGAGCAAAACCACATCACTCAACAGCAATACAACACAAGGTCACATGTTGCACGTGTTGTCAAGGACGTTATTGTTCAACAAAATGTCAAATTCTTGCTTTGGTCAGCTGATCAAGCATATTTGGGATGAAATGGATCGACGTCTGCGTCGTTTGCCAAATCAGCCAGTGACGTTGGCTATTTTCTTTGAAAACATGTACTTAGCTTTGGTCGGTTTTTAAAAGCTTTTTTATAATGAAATATATCGAAATAATGAACAATATTTAAGTTCAAAAGTCTATAAAACAATAAATAATAGG